ACCAGAATAATTCAATAACAGAACTTCGAACAACAACACTGCGCAAGGATCAAATGTGGGACACTTCCGGAAACAGACTTCTGTTGGTGGGATCGTGGCCAAGTTCCACCACTAATCGAGTAATAGTCAATATGAGGCTTAACTTGCTCACTTGGGGGGTCTTATTTTGCAATAAAGTTTAAATCATTGTTTCAGTACTTGATTGTCTAAGATTTCTTAATAAGTAGTCAAAGGTAACTTATTTAATAGTGGTACTTGGCATTGCTGGCTGGCCAGCATTTATTGCTTGTCCTTAGTGTCCTTGAGAAGGTGGTGGTGAGCCGTTGTCTTGAGCCACCAAGTGCTGTAGGTTGATCCACAATTCTCTTGGGGAGTAAATTCCAGAATTTTGACCCAGCATTAGTGAGGAAATGATGATATATTTCCAAGTCAGGATGGTGTGTTTTGGAGGAGACATGCAGATGGTGTTCCCAGGTATCTGTTGCCCTTGTCCTTCTAGATGGAAGTAGTTTTGGATTTGGAGGGTGCTGTCTAAGGATCTTTGGTGAATTTCTGCAATGTATCTTGTAGATCATAAGCTCAGTTGCTACTGACCATTGGTGATGGAGGGAGTGAATGTTTGTGGCTTTGGTGCCAATCAAGTGGGCTGCTTAGTCCTGAATGTACCTAACTTCTTGAGTATTGCTGGAGCTGCACCCATCCAGGCAAGTGGGGAGTACAACATCACACTCCTGACTTTTAGATGGTGAACAGGCTTTGGGGAGTCTGGAGGTATGTTATTTGCCCCAGTTTTCCAAGCCTCTGACCTATTGTTGGAGTCACCGTGTTTATGTGGCAAGTCCAGTTGAGTTTCTGGTCAATGGTGTTGGGGCATTCAGCGATGGTAAGACCATTGAATGTAAAGAGACAGAGGTACGCTCCTGCTCACCTGGCCAGCCACATTCTTTCTTTGTTACAGAGATAGTAGGAACTGCAAATGCTGGAGAATCTGAGATAAGGTGTAGAGCTGGATGAACACAGCAGGCCAAGCAGCATCAGAGGAGCAGGAAAGCTGACGTTTCGGGTCGAGACCCTTCTTCACAAAAATCTGAAAATCTTTCCTGCTCCTCTGATGCTGCTTGGCCTGCTGTGTTCATCCAGCTCTACACCTTGTTATCTCACATTCTTTTTTTTGTTTTGTTTCTTCATTTCTTTTTTGTATCAAAGTTCATCTTTTCTTATTTTCTTTGGCTGTGGTGGAGGAAGATGGTTGCAAGGGCTTGCTGTGGCAGTGGCAGTGTGGTGGTTCCAGATGTCTGTTCCTCATGGCGATAGTGACCGCAGCTTTATTGAAGCCTTCATCGTCAGTGGGTCTGTACTGTTCCTCCCAGCAGTGGTGCAGCAGTTCCTTCGGAGCTATCGCGGTGGCAGCATGGTGGTCCAGTTAGCCCCTCGTGGCTATAGGGGCAACATGGCGCCTTTGGGCCGCGGCTGAAGTGGTGGCACATCTAGGAAGGTCTGGTCTCTCCATCATTGCTATAGCAGCATTGCAGTGGCTTCGGTGTCAGAATCGGCAGTGGCAGCATGGTGGGTACTGACTGGATATCCTTGCTTTGGCAGCCTTATGGGTGTCTTCGGCGGCAGCATCCCTCAGCCAGTCCATAAACCCAAAATGCCATGGAGGGAACAAAAGATGAACTTTGTCCTAACTTTGTCTCAATTATTTCTTTTTATAATTTCTGTAATTAAAATGTTGCCAGATTGTGGCAACGTATACACATCTTACCATGTTTCATAAATGCAAGTAACAATAAATTGCTATTCTATTCTTATTGGGGATGTTATTGCCTGGCATTTATATGGTGCGAATGTTATATGCTACTTGTCAGCCCTATCCTGGATATTGCCCAGATCTTACTGCAGCAGTCCATGTTCAAATGCAACATCTGAGGCATTGTGAACGGTGCTGAATATTGTGCAATCGTCAGCAAACATCCCCAGTTCTGACCTTATGATGGAGGGAAGGTAATTTGATGAAGGAGCTGAAGATGTTTGGGCCTAGGGCACTATGCTGAGGAACTCCTGCAGCGACGTCCTGGAGTTGAGATGACTGACTTCCAACAACCACAACTGTATTCCTATGTGCCAGCTATGGCTCCAACCACCAGAGAGTTTGCCCCCTATATTCGTTGATTCCAGTTTTGCTAGGGCTCCTTGATGCTATACTCTGTCAAATGTCTTGATGTCAAGGGCTGTTGGTCTCACCTCTACTCTGGAATTCACTTCTTTTGTCCTTGTCTGAACCAAGGCTATAATGAAGTCAGGAGCTGATTGGAACCCAAACTGGGTGTCACTGGGCAGGTTATTGCTGAGGAGGTGTTTTACTGATGACGGAGAGTGGACTGATAGGCCTGGTTGGATTTGTCATGTTTTTTGTGTACACTATATATCTATCCTAACTTCTGAGCTAGGAGATCCAGGTTCAAATCCTACCCTCCTCAAACTTGTGTCATAAGATGTCTGAACTGGTTGGTTAAAAAGGCAGATACGTGAACAAGGATTCTTGTGGTTCAGTGATGGTGTCCTTTTCCTTTCAGCCAGGAGACCTGGATTGAAGTCCCACCTGTTCGAGAGATGTGTAATAACATCTCTGAACGGGTTAATTAGAAAATATCCAAGAAGTATACTTTACCATAATCGGTTTCACACAGTGCAAATAGGACCATAATGTTCTTCCAGTAGCCAGATTGGTTAGTTTTATCAGACATCTGTCTTGGTTACAGTCATTAGCAGGTGTCATCCAAAATCTGCAATAAACTACTGAAACTTTGTTCTGCTTTTTTTTGTTCTCCTCAGCTCTGAGATTACTGATTTGCAATGTTTATAATTTTGCTGTAAATGTTCTGAATTTGTGGTAGGCAGAGCTCCAAAAGGGTATTTACTCAAATGCACCCAGAATTCTGTACTTCGAGCTCTCAAATACAATAAATATTGAAACTAATTGAAGAATCAGTACTTTGGAGTCTTAAATACAGATGTGATACTTTTGTTTCCAAATTTTGCCTTTCAGGTGAAGGGGGATAGTGATCGTACTAAACTCCGCCCAGAGACGAGCCCATGTGATTGGTTGTTATGGGGCAAGAGGCCCAGACCAATAGCTACAGGATACCAAGTTTCAGTTTCATACCTTGATTCAAAAGACTCAGTTGGTTTTCTCGATAGTGATTCAGAGAGCAGGACTGAAACACCTATTGCTGTGCAAAGCACAGGAATATATTGTGTTGGAATGGCCACCAAGCAGGATTCAGATATGAATTAGTTTCCTGCTTGAAAAGAAGGGATTTGTGGAAATTTAAGGACTGGGGATTTGTTTGCGACTGCCTTGGAATCTGGTTTTTGGAGTGCTCAGAAAACTGTGTAGAATGGCTTTCAAAGGACATTGGAAGACTTGCTGTAACGTTGCAGGGAGAAGGAAGCCTGCTGAAAAGCAGTGAGAAGTGTGGGGGGAAAAACCTCCAAGGCTGCAAAATTACATGGAGGATGCATAACGTACAAACAAGTTGTAACATATTTGTTATGTTAGTTAATAGTGAGGATCATAACAATCTGAAATGTGAATAGCGTTGTTCTTGGGAGCCCAGCTTTTTAATTTTAAAAGTGGATGGGACCTTGATTATATTAGTATTCAAACTTGCTATCTTTCTGAAGGGTCCAGACCCGAAACGTCAGCTTTCCTGCTCCTCTGCTGCCTGGCCTGCTGTGTTCATCCAGCTCCACATCTTGCTATCTTTCGATCATTTTTGATACTGATGTTGGGTTACTATCCAAGAGAATAATGCATCATTGGCAAAAGTGAAGTAGAGGCAATGTAACTAGTTTAATACAATAATCTAATACAGTGTAGGCCTGTTTAACACAAATTTTTGATGTGCCCTGCAACAAAATGGATCATGAATTGAAGTTCAATAACACAAGACGCGTTTGCATTTGTTTTTGAGTTAAATTTAGGAAATAACAGCTCTCGTCCAGGATTTGAAACCGGCGGTACTTACACCAATTAATGAAATAAACTTAATAATTCAGCCAAGCTCCTTTTACAGCAAGGTTTGGTCAATTAAATTATGAATAGTTATTGCCACAGAAGTATTGTAAAGCTACTTTCATAATCAAAATTTTGCAGTTGTAATGGTAGCGCAACTCAAGGTTTGGCTGTTATCACACTGTAAAACAGATGAGTTCTGATGTGTGTAGAAAGGACAGTTAATCACTGTTCCCCATAATATGCTGTTGAAGTCTCCACTGACTCTCCATTTCTGCTTAGCAACCTCTAGCTTTGTGTAACAAATTATATATTTGAGAAATGCCCAATCTCTCCATGATTTAAAAATTCTATAATTTGAATAAGCTTGTGAAAGATTTTATAATAGTTACCTTAACACATGTATGTCTGAACCTTTACTTTATTTACTATAATGTTTATAAACAGTGATTGATGAAACCTGATTCTTGCGCCCTGATTCTTGCCAACATTGTGGTTGGTAGGTCCGTGACATTGCTGTCAATGAGCATGAGAGATCCTCCTATGGCTGGTGCCAGAATCAAATGACTGTCAGAAAAGGTAAATCCACAGGCACAGTAAGCAAGGTCTTTGGACAGCGACATGTGCATTGCTTTGCCATTGTTTTCAAAATCCAAGCCTTGTTTAGTCCTATCAGCTCCTGGTGCATGAGTGTTAGAATCCATAGTAACAAAGCAAATAAAGAGACTTAATTGCTCAGGTGAACAGCTAGGAAAACCCCATTTCACCCCAACTGGTTTATCTGACAATCATTAAAGTTTTCTTCGGTGCAACTGGCTAAGCAATATTTATATAACATAAGCCAACACAAATAAAGCCATTTATAAACGGTTTGTACAGCAGATCAAATTCAGTTACCTCTTTGATGTTCAGCTCCACATGAATTCACATTTGAATATTTTGATCTGTAAATGTTTGACACAGTGGAACTGTTTCTTTTCAGAAGAAAATCTTCAAGGACATTTGAACCACAGAAGATGCCACACAGGTGCTTGGTGCAAGGGTACAAAAATAGCACTGTAAAGAATTGTTTCATTTCTGGCAAGACATTTTACCTGGATCTTCCAAATAACAAGAATTCAAAGTACCTGGAGGACATTGTAAAGAAATTGGGAGGGGTATGTACATCTGAAACTCCTGATTTAAACCTGTTATTGTTTCGTTTTTATATTTTGACCAACTGTATAAGAACATTCTAAAAGACAAAAAGACTTCGTTTCTAATCAATGGAAATTTAACACCAATGATAGCAAGTGTTTCCCATAGACTGATCCATGAAATGGCCTTCTAGGCAATTTAGTGGAAACAAATTAATTTAAGCTACTATCGCTCCTGTGTTTATGGATGAGCTAAAGTGGATTGAAAGTCCTCCTTCCTCCATATCCAGCTTGTGTTAACTGGGAGCAATATGATTGAAAGCATAAATCATGGTAAAATGACAGACAGGTCTTTTTTTAATCGACCTGTTCAGTCATGTTATGCCACACCTCTGGATCAGGTGAGACTTCTGATCTTCTGGCCCAGAGATGAGGACACTACTAACGTGCCACATGAAACCTTTGGACAGCCAACATATTGGTCCCTGGGTTGGGCTCAGACCACTATCCTTTCAATTAGCAGACAAACATTTTAACCAATTGTGTCTCGGTGACCATCATGGACAAGTATTTTGAGGGGTAGGTGAATTAATGCTTTTCCCAGAATCAAGGAATGACAAGAGCTTTAAATGAAGGCAGTGTTTAATGAAGAATATATCCAGAATCTGACAACATTTGACTTTATACAGATTTAAAGTAATAAGGCATGTAAGGATGAATTATATACAGAAGAGCGAGTGTATAGAAAATTTATTGAAGAAATTTTAAAATCCTTTTGTAGGAATGTCATTATTCTAGTTGCTATACTGTGAAAATATAACCATCTAATGCCTTCAAAAGAAAATGTGAAGGATAAAAATGGCTGTGGAAAAGTCACTTCAGCATTATGTTCTTGTATATAGAAGTAGAAGAATTAAGTTATAATAACTGAATTTTCATCCCAACCATTATTTTTCCAAGATTGTTTAGGTTGGAGTGTTTAAAAAAAGGGGATATTTGATGTTACCAAGAATAACTGTACATAAAAACAATTTGTGTATTTTGGAGGAGGCAACAGTCCACCATAAGTAAACATATATTTGAAAAATCATTTTGGTAACCCTTTAACATCTCCTACTTTGTTACCTGTTGCAATCATACCAAATCAAAAGCCAAAAGCTCTGATTTTTTTTTCATATTATCAACTCTGAATACTGTGGCTGAAGGACATCCTTGAAAACACAGGTTTGTCTAGCAAATAGCTGAAAATATAATTCAGGAAGTTGTTACCTAGCCTATTACTTTTACTTGAATTATTGAAAATGCCTCTGAGAGCCACAATTAGACTCTGTCATACTGGGGTGGTAGGGGTAGGAAAATGAGAAAAAGCTTTTTAGATTTTCTGTTAATGTTGTGCAGTAAACCAACAAATCTATCTGCAGGTGTTGACTGATGTGATCCCAAGTGCTCTTTACAAACATGAAAGCTTTTTCTCTTACCTTTTCATGAAAGTGCACCATTTGCTTTCCACTATTTCGTCCATCTCTGAGATACCTTCACTAAGTCTAATAAATGAGGATTGTAGCACAATATTTTTAAAACTTTCTATGAAGGCTTTTTCAAGGCAAGTGTAATGTTACTTATCTGGACTTTATCATGTGTTTTCTGGGAAATTATATTCAACGATGAGTAATGGTTTTGTTACGATTTTGTGATTCACATTTTTCTCCTGACGTGGTGCTTTTTTCTTTTGACTTTCAGACAATAGAAAGTTTTCTCAGTAAAGAAGTGAGTTATGTGATTTCCAACAGCAGGGAGGCAAAGCTGCGGAATTCATCTGTCAATTTAGCACCTGTTCCAAACAGAGAGCATTTAAAAAACAATCCAATTGGGACCCCTCAATCTGTCAATCCCAAAGATGGCCAGATGGTAAGTAAGCAAACCCCAGAAATGGTACATTTTGCATATTTGTGTTCAGTTGCAATAAGTGCTGAATGCAATTTGTTGATGTCTACTGGGTTGAGAATTTTTAGACCCACTTGGTGCTATTCAAAAAAAAATTTGCAATTCATTTTGGTTGAGTTTGCTGCTCTGGCGACAAATTAGCTGATCACAGTTCAGATCAACTTCTGTGTTCTGTAGGCCTTTTAAATGATCAATGAGCAAACTGGTCACCCTGATGGAAGAATGTTCCTTGAAAACTTTCACTCCCATACTGATGACTTGGCCTTATTAGCCTGATGTTGGAATGGGTGCTTTATCAGCCTGGTCTAGGGGTGGGTGCCTGAATGAATAGCGCTCTTTATGTTCAAGAATGGGAACTCTGCCTGCAATTGTTTGCCATCGGGGATCCTTCCTTGGTTTTAGGGAATCTCCGACACCATCTTTTGAGCACAGGACTATGTTTGTTTCAGTGTATTTTAAGGGATGACATACTGTCAGGCATGCATATCTTTATTCCTATGATGTTTCATCAGATGAAACTTGAATGTGTTGAATCGTAGTTGTAACCTAATTTCCCTGGATCAATCAGTTCAGCAGAAAAAAGCCATTGAACCTGGGAACTTCCTGATTTGTGACACTAATGGATGGATTGCAAGGCCTTCAGGATTTTGACTGTTACCTTTAAGTAAATAAACCTGTGGTGGTTGTGATTGGGAAGGCAATGACACAGGAGAAGAAAAATGATTGACCATGCAGAAATTGATTTGGTCTGTTATTAGCTTGCACCTTACTCCTGTAAAATTTCTGTTTCATTGTAACAAATAACAGTAATGGGAATTTGAGATAAATCTGATTTTAGTTTCTTATTGTAAATTAGGAATTATATTTAGAATCAAAATTTGAGAGAGAATGACAAGGAACTAAGGAAGTATGGTATCCTGAACTCCACACCTTCACCGCTTTGAATAACTGGGACTGAACAACCTTGTCTGTATAGTGATGAGCAGAGACTTTTCTGATGGCAACCTTAGCTCATGGGTGCTGACACCTTATTACTTAAAGCTTCCCCAGAATGATGTACATAATAAGGTTGTGTACAGTTGTTAGCATAGAATTCATCCTCTACCAACAGCATGAAAAGCTGAAATCATTGACAATTTAATAAAAATGTGTTAGTTCAAAGTCTTGAAGGTAATAGAAGGTAAGCAAAAGGAAAAGTAGTGTTTCTACCTACTTGAAGTATGATAACTTCACCCATTTGAAGTAGCCTAGAAGCATCTGCATTTCACTGCAACTCACAAAAAGCATTAGAATTTTCTGGCATCTCATGCTGCAATGCTTTACCATGTTGTGTTATAATGTGTCCCTGATTTCTTGTCAGCCACTTTCACCCAGTGATGAGATTCTGGTATAAACACCAGGTGCGCTGTGAATTCTTCTATATGTTTCCTTAAATAGAGTGTTGTCCAAGCCCCTCCTTCTGCTATTTCAAGTGTGTACGGGAACGATTTGCCTGTTAGCTGATTAAGTACAGTTATCGTACGCCGCAAGATGTAGAGAACCAGTTATTCTCAAATCAGAAAACATTTGAGTCATACCTTACTGAGATAGCTTATCAAATATATTAAAGGAAAGTTTGTTTATTTTGCTACATTTGGTCATAGTGAGCTGATGTTTCAGCTGTTGAAAGTGAATACAGTTGAAGTATCTGGAGTTCTCCTTGAAATAATGCTAAGATTGTGAAGCTGATTTATAATAGCATTTATTTCACAATCTTCCACTTTTCTCCCTGAACCCTGTTTTCTCAAAGCACAGTGAAGTGAACGTTGAATTCTGTGGGTGATATACTTCCCGGTCATCTGTTTTCAGGCTGATTTAACTGTGTAATTCACTTCCATTTGAACCTGATCCTGCTGATGTGCTTAAACTCTTCTTTATCTCTCTCACCTCACCATTCTCCCTCCCACCCACTCCAATAAACACTAGCAAACTTTCTTTAGGCATTGTTTTTTTAAATTTGAAAATTGTCTTTGCTGCTACTTCAGGGATTCCTCTTGGAGTTAGATATTGCAATGGCTGCCATGGGTGGGGAGGAGGAGTCTGCAAGGTGTGGCTGGTTGGAAGGAGAAGGCTGCTGCAGGAGGGATGGGAGTGTACCCAGAAGTACAGAGACTTTGAACATATGTAGCAACTCAAAACTTGATATCCAAGCCATCAACAAGATGCAACCCAGCAATTTACCAAGGTTGCTTCAACAGCAATTTCCAAACCCATGACCTCCACCCTTGAGAAGGACAAAGACAGCAGATGAATGGGACCTTCACCACCTGCAGGTTCCCTTCCAAGTCTCTCACCATCATGCCTTGGAACTATATTGGCATTCCTTTACTATTGCTGGATCAATCCCTTCCGGTCAATATCCTGAGTGTCCCTAGACTCCAAAGACTGTAGCAGTTCAAGAAGGCATCTTGCCACCCCTTCTCTAGAGCAGTTAGAGATGGGCAATAAGTATTGTTTAGCAGTGATGTCCAGATCCCATGAGTGAACCAAAAAAAGAAGCTGGTGGTTATTTTTGATTCCGGAATAGGGAACGATTTTGGCAGCTGGGGCCAGAACTTAATGCGACTTTTATTTTTTATTATCCAACCCAGTCTGGTGGTGAATGACTAAACCAGTTCTTAACTGCAACCATTCACTGTGTTTCCTGGGCTTGAGAGACTGACGCAAAAGGAAATAGGCAGAGGAAAATGTAACTGGAGGGTGATGCACATATGTGATCAGAAATTTCCTTATCTGTGACTTATGCCTATGGGAATACTGAGCCGACAAGTTGGCATGATGAAGAGCGTGAATATGGGTTGTATAGTATGAATGGAAACTTAGGCTATGGAGGACAGAAGGGCAGTTAAGTCAACAGAAAGAAAACATGATGAATTGAGGTTTATATCACGAAATAACATGGCATCACTTCGTGCCATGCGTGAGGGAGAAAAGCAGCGAAGAAATCTCATTGAAACTTTTGTGAACAGTAGGGAACAAGGATTTCAAGTGAGAGGCAAAAGGAGAAGAAAACAAGGTGAGATGCTGAAACGAAGAGAAAGGAAGTAAGGTCTGATTTGTGTGGTGAGAACCATATTGCTACCAGTTAGCGCAAATGGTGAAAAGTCCAGGTGGGGAGTGAGGTTTCCTTTAGAAGGAATGTGTTTTTACTCTTCCACCAGATTCCGATCAGGGATATCATTTATTGGCCTGAAACATTGCTCTGATGTTTGAATCTAATCTGTTTTTCAGATGCAGATCAGCAGGGGAAAACAACTACTTGAAACAGTGATCAAGAATAATGTAAGAAACTATTTTACCAACATTCAATACACTGATAAAACTGAATAGTGGAATGTTTTCATTTAATCCACAAATTCCAATGAGGCTTGAGTGATGAGTTCTGATATCAAGCATTGTAAACCGAAAGTCCCCAACTTCAATCGTTGGTCAGTTGAGTTTGCTGATATCGGTTGCTATAGCAGGAAGGTGCGACGTTTGGGCTTTGGGGATACAGAAGACCAACATCAGCCACATACCTGTTATGTTTATTATCTAGCAATTCCAAATGGTGTTAATATGGCTGCAGCACTGCTTGGAAACTTCTCCATAATGGGGTGTCACCTAAATAGTGTTGATTCAGTGAATCTAATAGATGTAAAACATCTACTGTGTTCAGGCTCCTTTTTGTTCACTGTCTGGATGGGTGTATCCTTGGATATGATTGTAACTTGTGTAAAGTTCTTGTCATCTCCTAGTATGTACTCAGGTGCGCCCCTCTTTGGCTATATGTCTTATGATACAATTACATTTTTTTCACTGCTACACACAACTGTCAAATTTCCTTGAGGTGTCCACAAATTCCCCCAGACCTCTTATCCTGTGGTCTGGAGCTTTTGCTTTGTTTTCACACTGTTTAGTTCTCGTCTGTTGTTTCATAATCTTAAAATGCCAGGAGTAAATGCCATTTAAAGATACAATGGAGAAGTTAAACTACACAATTAAGGGGAATCCTATCAAGGTATTTTTTTAAAAATTGATATGAAGTAAATGCAAGTTATTTTTTGAATTCAAGTGAGGAAAATAGAACTAAATTATGAAACTCAATGAAAAATAAGTTAGAAATTAGTTATCTTTTTTCCTAAGCTCAGTAAAATGTTTGTGATCTGCTTGGTAGAGTGGTCAAACATTACAACCTTTTTAAAAAAATTAATTAGTGCAAATGTCAAAATGCCCTGTAATTCTTTCTCTCTGACAGGAATGTGGTGGTAGTAACAGTATATTGGTCAATGCACGTTCCTGGGGAGTGAAAATCCTACATCTTGATGGTATCCTTTCTAGTTGTGTGTTCATGTGTGTATTATCATAACAACATTAAAGGTATCATTGAATACATTTGTATTTTAATATTTGTGTTATTAATTAGTAGGAATTTTTTTATATTTGTTTGTGGGATGTGGGCATTGCTGACTGGCCAGCATTTATTGCCCATTCCTAGTTGCCCTTGAGAAGGTGGAATTGAGCTGCCTTATTGAACTGCTGCAGTCCACCTGCTGAGGGTTGACCCACAATGCCATCAGAGAGGGAATTCCAGGATTTTGACCCAGAGACAGTGAAGGAATGGCGATATATTTCCAAGTGGCTTAGAAGGAAACTTGAAGGTGGTGATGTTCCCATATATCTGAGCCATTTATAAATTTCAGGACAGTGCATGTTAATCTGTATTAGTTTAAAGCTGCCACTGTGTGGCAAAAGCAGTGTCCATTATGTCCATTGTAGAATATAAAATCCCCACAGTGTGGAAACAAACAGGCCATTCAGCCCAACAAGTCCACACCAACCCTCTGAAGAGTATCCCACCTAGACCCACTTCCCTAGCCTATCCCTACAATCTGGCATTTCCCATGGCTAACACACTTAGCTTACACATCCCTGAGCACTGTGGGTAATTTAGCATGGCCAATCCACCTAATTTGCTTTAGACTATAGGAGGTAACCAGAGCACGAGGCAGAAACCCACACAGACACGGTGAGAATGTGCAAGCTCCACGCAGACAGTTGCCCAAGGCTGGAATCGAACCTGGGTCCCTGGCGCTGTGAGGCAGAAGTGCTAACCACTGAGCCAACATCCCACCCCATGTTTCAACATGAGGTTGATAAAAGCCTGAATTACAAAACAGATGCAGTGGCTACCACAACCTAGAATGTTAGCAAAATAGCCCATCATTGATAAAAATCTGCAATTTGTCAATACACAAAATGTTTTCGGGCTTTATTGAAATTCCAACGTAATCTTTGTAAAACAGTCACTTATGGGATGAGTTTTCTTCTTTTACTTAATTTAAATGCAGCCTTATGGAGTATACATATTTTACAAGCTTCTTTTTTATTGTCAAATTTAGGATATTAGCACTTCCAGCAAAGTCAGTACTTGCCCTTAAAAGGGTGGTGAGTTGTCTTTGAGCTGTTATAGTTCATCTGATGGAAATTCTTCTACAATACAATTGAGCAGGGAATTCCAGGCTTTCTTTTTTAACTCCGCAACTATGAAGGAATGGAAATGAGATACTTATTCAAGTCAAATCGTATGTGTTCTAGAGGCTAATTTGAGTGATAGTGTGCCATGCTGTTGCCCTTCTAGGTGTGGAGAGATTGTAGATACTGAGATGCTTTTATCGAATTGTAAAGTTTTCATGAATAGCTGTTATAGTTCACAGTTTTTGTTTTAAGAACTTCAGTGCCCTTTATTTATCAACCATTGTATGTAATTAGATTAAGTTTTCCAATAAACAGCATCCCAATTGTCAGCTAAGAATTCTGTGTACCATTTAATTCATTTCCATCCATTTCATTATTTTTGACCGATACTTTTATCCACAGTTAAATTCCCTCTCTATCAAATATCTCCTTTGTGAGCAATACTACAGAAGGTCCACAACCTGTAGGAAAAAAAAGTTGTGTAGCTTTTTTCATGATTTATATGTACTCTGATATCTGTTAAAAATCTTTATTACCCTCTCTCAAAAAAAATGTCTGTAAACCTTAACCATTGCAAAGATCTACTGGCATATTTTGAAAAAAGAGGTGTTAAATTACTACATGGCAATAGAAAAACTGAGGTATGTTTTGCATGTGTGTGTGTGTATATATGTTTTATACCTAAAGTATCTGATCAGCCCATGGTTCAACTAATAAATGTCAGAACAGCAATTTAGAGAGCTCTGAACAAAGGAATCACACTGTACCGTTTACAATCTTTTTGTGTGTTCATTGGCTTCAATAAGGCAATCAACATTTTAATGAGATTTCTCTTAAATGCAAAATGCTGGCCTGGTAATTCTTCGTTTTAACTATCCACAATTTCCTATTATACTCTATAAACTGTATTGCTACTGTATTAATCAGTGTAACAGCTGCAATATTGGAACTGTTAGTAATGGTTTTCATTTTGCTGAGCTAATAGCCCAGATTTACTGTGTGAACGTCATACCTGCTTTTATGATTGAGTAAAACTGAAATAATCTCTGACATCTTAAACATGCCTAATCAAATTTGAAAATCTTTAAATTAGAGTCTACTGGCCCAGTGTTTCGGTGATTGCTGATGGCATCTACATAGAACTCATTGTAATGCTGTGAACTTAAGCTAATTACTTGCTGTGCCTGCTCTAAAGGCAGCTGTGAAAGTTAAGGCTTGTACAATCAATGATTAAGTTTTTTTTAATGGTGAAGTAAGTGAAACTGACCCAATTCTGTAGAATAATTAACATGTAATTAGTTTTTTCTACGATTTTTTTTTTTATTTGGTTTTTTTTTAAAAACCTGCTTTGAGGTCTGAGTGTCAGAAGGGATTATTAATATTGGTTGAAGAACCTCCCAAGCTCAGTCTCGGGGCACCGTTTTGTGGAGCATCTGCACTCTTGACAAATGACAACACCTTCTGGTCGTCAATCGTTTGAACTTTCCTCCCCACCCCCCCACCAAATCCCCTGATGACCTGTCCATCCTGGGCCGCCTCCAGTGCTACAATGACACCACGTGCAAACTAGAGGAGCAACACCTCATATTCCACCTCAGGAGCCTACAGCCCGATGGCCTTAACATAGAATTCACCAGTTTTAAAATCTCCCAAGCCTCATCCCAGGTCTAAATATCCCTCTCATCTCCGCCTCCTTGAGCTGACACAACCTGTCCATCATCTTCCCCGAATATCCGCGCCACCCTTCCCGCCAACCAATCCCCACAATCCTCGACCTGCATCCAACCGATTGCCACCCCACCCATCCTCCCTCCTGCCTCCTTGATCCGACACAACCTGTTCATCTTCTCTCCCACCTAACCGCCCCACCCATCCCACTGACCAATCCCCCTAGCCCTACCTCCCACCCATCACCACCACCCCACCTAATTTTCCCCCCCTCACACCTTTCCCCCCCCCCCCCCTCCATTTATTTCCCAGCTCCCTTTCCCGTCCCCATTTCTGAAGAAGTGTCCTGACCTGAAACGTCAACTCTCCGGCTCCTCTGATGCCTGGCCAGCTGTGTTCCTCCAGCTCCACACTGTATTGTCTCTGACTCTAGCATCTGCAGTCCTTGCTATTTCCCTGCTGTTTATCCTGTTTGCAGATTTCCTATAGAGGGTGCCATAGTGAAACATGCTGGCTGACAAGACATTTTCACAAACAAGTTTGTTAAATGTCCTTGGATAGTGATAGTCAAGGTGAATGGTAACAGACATTCCTTTGACACACAGTACACTCCAAACCTACAATATAAATATTCAAAACAAAATTAAATCATGTGGGTTCATAACTTCATTTTTTTTATGTATTTTGTCATCTGAACCTTTTGAATGAATGTGATAACAATTACTTCATGCCATCTGTGGTCTTTGATCAATCAAATATATACTATTTCAAAGCCTTTATTGCTATATGTTTACATTTATAAATAACTTTTAGAAAAAGACTAAAATTCATGGAAGAAAGAAGTACGCTGATACAATTGTTATTAAGAATTGTATCAATCCTGTAGCCCTGAAGGCAAGTTACTAGTTAGACTGAGACGCAAAATTATAAACTCTTCCATGGCAAATTTTGTATCATGAGTCACATTGATGTGTGTACTCTTACTTAACCTACAATGCATTGCTAGCTTTTGAGGTGGCAGAAAAATATACTTGACATTGAAATTCTGTTTTAAATAAAATTTTCTAGAAGTACCATTTTACAAATAAATTGATTTGTGAGTGTTTGGCAGGGAAATGGATGTTTGCCTAAACCCATATGCAAGAATACAAAAGGTAAGTAATGACATAACTTGAGAATTTTGCATATAATTTTTGATGCCTAGTGACAAAAATAATTCAACAATTTATTTGTGCAGTGTTTAGTTACAATCATGTATAGAATATTGCCAATACTTACATGTAAAGGCAATTCATTTTTATTAAACATACCACTGTTGCTGCTACCCTGCCCTCAAAATAATGGATATTCTAAGTTGCTTAGCTGCATACAGTGGGCTTCCTGCTGTACATGTCAGACTAAAATAGACCATTGTATTATGCATTTCTATATTAAACATGGTAGTGTAAATTTAAGTTAAACTCTGGCAGAATGTTACACTTAAAGATGTTAAAATAATGATACTTTGATTTTAAATTGGTGGCAGGACAGATTTGGAATTGAGTAATCCCATCTCATTTCCGGACGTGTAAATTAAAATATATAAATTTTATTTGTTCAAGGGATGTAGTGCACTGTTGGCATTTAATTCCCGTCCCTGATTGCCCTCAAGAAGGTGCTAAACTGCTGCAGAGTATGTGGTATAGGTGCACTATCGGTGCTGTTAGGAAGGGAGTTCCAGAATTTTGACCCAGCAACAGTGAAGGAAATGCAAAATAGTTCCAAGTCAGGGTGATGTGCTTCTTGGAGGGGAATCTGCAGGTGCTATATTCCCATGCATCTGCAGACCTTGACCTTCTATGTAAGAGAGATTATGGGTTTGAAAGGTGCTGTCGAAGAAGCCTTGGTGAATTACTTTAATGCATTTTTTTTGATGGCACACATTGCAGCCCCTGTTGGTGCTGAAAAGAGTAAATGTTGATGGTAATGAATAGGGTGCCAATCAAGAGAACTGCTTTGGCTATTTGGCAGTCAATGAGGTCCTCTCAATGTTGCTGTTTAATCTTGATTGCATATCAGTGGGACGGCCCGCAATTTGAGATAACTGGCAGCAAATCAAGGTGGGAGGTGCCAATTGTATTGCATTAAGCATTGAAATTGTGGTCCTGTTAGCATTCTGTGATTTCAACATGACCAACTCCTTTGCTCGCTCTCTGCTTTTTTGATATTGGGGCTGAGTGCTTCCGTATGAAACTGACTAATGTATTTTATCAAGTTCTCCACGCTAAACAATCATCAAAGGTCAATGACCTAAAACATTAAATCTGTTTCTTATTCCACAGATGCTGCTTGACTTCAGTATTACCAGGACTTTCTCTTTCCACATTTTTAACATGTGCAGTGTTTTGCTTTTAAACAATGAAAGTATCACATCTAAAGAAAAGAAGGACTTAATAACTATATAATGTTACACATTTTACAGTCAAAAGTACTTTGGCCAACTGTACTGGAATAAACAAAGCTAGCATTTGAGCTTTTGCAAAACTAATTGGATAATTATTCAATCATCTGCTTCAGGAGTTGGCTGAGGGACTAAATGATAGCCAGAAATCCAGGAGAACTCCTACACTTTTCAAAAGAACACTAGGAACTCTTGTATCCACCCAAGGCCAGATGAGGCCACTGTTTACTGTCTCATCAGAAAGATGGCAGTTTCGTCAGTAAAACACTCCCTTAATACTACACTGAAATGTCAACCTCAATTATACATTCAAGTCAATGGAGTAATGCTTGGACTCCTACAACCTTCTCACTTGGGCAAGAGTACTACTCTTAATCCAAGTCTAACAATTAACAACAGTCAGACTGCACAGATTTGAAGAAAAATCATTCCACAGTAACAGAGTAATACATTGTGTAGTACATGATATCCTCAAAAGAACACATCAACCAAATTACATAGCAATGTTGTGGAAACGCAAATCACAATTTTAAGAAGTGCATTTTAATGTGACTGAGCTTCATCCAAAATCCAATTTTGAAGTAGAGCCTGTGGAAAATTACAGTATTAGCAGTTTGAGATTTGAATGAGTGTTCAGCACACTGCATTTAGAGTCAATGGTTAATCCTGAGAAGAAGCAATTTTGTTATAACAACGTCATGTTTGTTAGTACTGGTCCTGTGTACAGCAGCTCCAGTAAATCAGTTGATCTGGAGCTGCTATTAATTGTATTTCATTTTATGTGTTTGGAGCAGTGAGAAAACTAAAGCAACCTTTTCTTAAAATTGAAGACTCCAGTCGGTAAGTCAGCTGATATCATCTCCATACAAAGATTGCATTATGTCATTTAAAACTTGTTTATAACTATATCTTGAACATAGAATATTTGGACATTTTTCAAAATCAGTCCAGCGAACAATAGATATTTGTTAAAGCCTGATCAGAATATTCAGCATTAAGAATGAAAGATTGATAAAGTAGAAGTGAAGTTTCAGCATAATTTGTTTCTTGAACTTGTGGCTTATTGTAAAGTACAAATATAATTTGTACAAAGTAATTTATTGCATACTTGTGAAGCTTCCTAAATTTAAAAAAAACTTGCTTAAATGAACTAATATCATGCAGTATCTATGGAACTATTTCTGAGTGTTGGCAAATTGTATGTATTTAGGCATTTTAGACCTCTCTACCAGCAATATACAAGCTATCCAGAACTGAACTATGAATCTCACAGAGGATTCAGTGCATTTGATCCTTTGAAGAAACCTGGGAATGCACATCAAGAGCAAGAAAAGAATAAACTTGGGTAAATATTTGTACATAGATTACTGTGCTTTGTCCTAAGTATTTTGATTTAAATTTTAATTCCCGGAAGTTAGTTGTTTCCACATTTTTAATGAAAAAATGTCAACTAAGTACTCAAGTTAATCTAAAGTGCCTTTGAGTTTGTATTGTAACCTTCCCAATTTATTATTATCTAGACCATCCGGCAATTGAGTTTCACTGTAGTGAACCACCATTAAGCCTTTACAATTCCTCATTCACAAAGTCTGTTACTATTGCCTCACTTTTCCCTTTGAAAATGATCAGGAGAGGATGTACAATTTGCTGAGTTATAAAACATGTCTCTGAAAGATCTAATTTATTGGACTTATAGCCATGTCTGACAGCACATCATGTCCAAAACACTTCACCCACTATAGGTATTTTCTTTATTCCATTTGGAAGATGGGTTAGTAGCCTTGTGCTTTTTGATTTGGGTAAAGCCCTATTTTCATCTGTAATCTGAATTAATGACCATTTTAATGGTTTCCATTTGGCAGCGACTGTAGAATGACCAACAGTGAGGGTGATGTGGAAACACTCACAAAACCGGCAGCAATGCATACAGAGAAAAAACAACAACGATTCTGTGAATGTTGCCGTGAGACATTCTACGACCTTGTTGGGGTAAGTGTCTGATCTACTTAAATGGTGTTTAACACAAGACCAGTCTTGATGCTCTGATTCTGCCACAATTTCAATTGTATTCCTTTTGTTGGGCATTGTGAGAACAGTTGTTTTTGCAGAATAATCTCTCTGCAAAATCTGAACCTGCCTGAGTTCGTATTGGATATTAACTATTTTTCTTTTAAATGGTTCCTTGGAATTTCGCTTTCATGTTAGGCCTGTTAAACAACCCACTCAAACTTCAACCAAGGAGCTTGAAGCTGATTAGCACAAATCTCATTTTTCTTACATTATTTATTAATTTTCCTTCCCTATATGTCTCCATTTGTTGCACTATGTGGTCATGCAAGCGCACTCTTAAAACAAACAATCTTTGAACAAATCTTGTTTGTTCCATGTCTGGCACATTCTCGGTTTCTGCTTATCTGTCCAGCTTCGAGGAGACATCGAAAAAAGTCTGTCGTAGGATTAAAATACCTTTTCCACAATTTAACGTCTAACTGACTTTAATATCTTCGTATGCTTGAATCGTAGATTCTCTATAACTCCCTCCTCTATGACCTCAAGTCAGCATGGTAAATGATCTGCTTAGCTTACCTATTGTCATAATTGTATGACTGCCTTGACCTCCTTCCATATCCAAATCTGATTGATAGTTCAAAATAATCCTGGTGCTAGGAAAAAGTGAACTGCATCACCAATAGTGTTGTCCTACCCTCATCTTAAACATTAGATGCAAGAGCTTCTGATGCTGCTTGGCCTGCTGTGTTCATCCAGCTCTACACCTTGATATCTCGGATGCAAGAGCTTGTTAACTTTTATTGAAATAAAAAATAAAATCGGCACAGTTCATGGGATGTAGGCTCTTTCTGTGACTATTTTTTAAAAATTTGTTCATGGGATGTAGGCATCGCTGGTTAGACCAGCGTTTATTGCCAATCCCCAATTTCCCAGAGGACAGTTAAGAGTCAACCACATTGCTATGGGTCTGAAGCCAGATCAGATAAGGAGGACACATTTCCTTCCCTAACGGCCATTAGTGAATGAGATGGGTTTTTACAATGCAGGAGTGACCTCAGTCTCTGAGGCAGGAAGACTCTGAAGGTGTTGGGAACCCAGCAGGAACAGCAGTTTATTTGAGCGACAATCGATTTCAGCAAGGAGAGGAGCTCCAAATTGTCATGCAGGACAACTGAGCTCACTCTACAGAATACCCGCGTAACACTATTTTATACTTTCTTACATAGTAACAATTTGTAGAATTACATAATTACAATGTAGTTGATTATATCAAGTCTATAAGTCAATTAACTAAGCAGTAACTACATCAAGTCTGTAAATCAATTGACTAGCCAGTCAGTTATGTCAGGCCTGTAAATAAATTACATCGAATTCATAATTCAATTAACTAGGCATGTTTACTACATAAAATTGTAGTGTATTACATATCTACCAGTCGAATTCAAACGCACGGTGCCTGTTCGCTTATGTGGTCACTTGCTTATCTTGTAACCTTTGTCCCCGAATATCCAGTAGTCAGCTAAGGTTCTGCCCCGCTTACTCGTATTGGTTAGTAATTAACAAGGCTTCTGTGGTCCAGGTAGTGTGTCTTTAGTGATGGAGGGTCAATTGCCTTAAAATATCCTATTCTATGGTTTTTGTGAGACACTCTATCATAAGCCTCTTTACTTTTGTACTAAAGGTCCTCTTTACCAATCCACCCACAAGCGTTCTGTATTATTGCTCTCGTGATCTCGTTCATTCACAACTTTACTAACCACTCGCTAGCGTACAATGTTACTATAACTGCATTTCTTCCATCCCATTACTGCCTTTTCACAGTTTTAACCCTTCCCAGCCTCATGCTGCTAGCAGTGTCCAGACCTGTATCTACATCAGAAGCTATCCCTGAGTATGTGTTAATTTTGTAATCTATTCAGAACAATACTATCCCAGCCACTGTGTCATCTGAAACTATGAAAAATGATAATATTAATCAGCCCAGAGCAACCATCTCCTAGGACTTGAATAGCTTGCAGAATATGGAACAAGTTTTCTCCATTAGCATGTATCTGTTAGGAACATATTGAATAAGGCCTCTGTTCCCTTTTAAAAAAAAGTTACATCAAAATAACAGTTCTGTGAAATTGAATGAATTAATGAGTAAACCAGCAATAATGAAATCTCAAGACCCAGCCATGGTAATCAGTCTACTACCCTTTCTGCTGTTATTAATAGCATATATGATTCCTAACACAGTCAAATCATTATAGGCTTGATATTCTATACAAAAACCGAAAGAACTGCGGATGCTGTAAATCAGGAACAAAAACAAAGTTGCTGGAAAAGCTCAGCAGGTCTGGCAGCATCTGTGAAGGAAAAAACACAGTTAACGTTTCGGGTCCAGTGATCCTTCCTCAGAATTGAAGGGTCACCAGGCCCAAAACGTTAACTGTTTTTTCCTTCACAGATGCTGCCAAAGAACAAAGAATAAAGAACAAAGAAAATTACAGCACAGGAACAGGCCCTTCAGCCCTCCAAGCCTGCGCCGATCCAGATCCTCTATCTAAACCTGTCATCTATTTTCCAAGGATCTGTATCCCTCTGCTCCCTGCCCATTCATGTATCTGTCTAGATACATCTTAAATGACGCTATCGTGCCTGCCTCTACCACCTTCGCTGGCAACGCGTTCCAGGCACCCACCACCCTCTGCGTAAAGAACTTTCCACGCATATCTCCCTCCAAACTTTTCCCCTCTCACCTTGAAATCGTGACCCCTAGTAATTGAGTCCCCCACTCTGGGGGGGGAAAAAGCTTCTGCTATTCACCCTATCTATACCTCTCATGATTTTGTAGACCTCAATCAGGTCCCCCCTCAACCTGCTGAGCTTTTCCAGCAACTTCTGTTTTTGTACGCTTGATTTTTTTTTCTGGTATTCTCCTACTTTTAAGAAACAAAAGGACCCACACCCCTCATTCCCTTGTTTCCATGACAATTGGCAATAGCTACATGGTCGCATTAGCCATCTCTTTTTTTTTATTCTAGATTTTATTAAATTTACATTTCACCATCTGCCATGTGGGATTTAGATACATGTTCCCAGAATGTCGGCCTGATATTCTGGACTACTAATCCAGTGACACTTCCATTACATCAAACTTCCCTAATTCAAACTTCCCCACTCACCTCTGTGACTATGTCTCCATAACAGACACAGTCACAACAGACTCGGTCTTTCCATGAAACAAACTACCTGCTTCCTTGATTCTCTGCTGTCACAGTTCCTGATCCATCTCCCATCTTTGCTTCATACCATAGCTTTCGCTACAAGAGTAGCCCTGCTGCCTTCAAAATTGCACTTATAACCAATGTTTGTATGGGTTTAACATAACCTCCATACTTTTCTACTCATTGCCACTATTTATGAAGCCCAAGATTCCGTATGCTTTGCCATCTACTCTCTCAATAAATAGGCTTTGCAAATTTCAAAAATTAAACACGAGTCCTGAGGCTCTCTGCCCTCTTTCACTTTTTAGGACTCTGCAAGTGCCTGTTTGTAATCCATCTGCCACTGGGGAGGCGATGACCTAGTGGTATTATCACTGGACTGTTAATCCAGAGATCCAGATAATGTTCTGGGGACTAGGGTTCAAATCCTGCCACAGCAAATGGTGGAATTTGAATTCAATAAATATCTGGAATTAAGAGTCTAATGATGACCGCGGATCCATTGTCGATTGTCAGAAAAACCCACTTGGTTCACTAACGTCCTGTAGGGAAAGAAACTGCCATCCTTACCTGGTCTGGCTTACATATGACTGCAGACCCGCAGCAATGTGTTTGCCCTCAGGGCAATTAGAGATGGGCAATAAATGCTGCCTAGCCAGCAATGCCCTCATCCCATGAATGAATAAAGAAAAAAAAACTTGTCTGGCCACTTTTATTAGTTTATTTACGTCTTATTGCATTCAATTAATATCATCCAAACTATTGACTGCACTGCTAAGGTTGGAGTCCTTGACATATATGATCATGGAGTAGAGGGGTGACTCTTTAGAACTGGGATGAGGAGGCATTTCTTCAGCCAGAGGATGATGACCCTGTGGTACTCTTTGCTGCAGAAGGCTGTGGAGGCCAAGTCATTGAGTGTCTCTTAAAATGGAGATGGATAGATTCTTGATTAGTGAGGAGAAGGCAGGAGAATGGGGTTGAGGAGCATATCAGCCATGATCAAATGGTGGATCAGACTGGATGGGCTGAATGATCTAATTCTGCTCCAGCATCTTATGATCTAAAACATTGGTTTAAGCATTGACCCTTGGGCAACAGCACAGTCTGCCATTCTCCAGTCTGAAAAGCAACTGTCACAGCTCACTTTCATGAAGCCAATTTTTTTTTAATGCAGTTGGGTGCTGACCCTCTTAGGAGGCTCAGATGTGTTAACCTGCATTTTATGTGGTACCTTATCAAATACTTTCATAAAATCCATAAAGGAAATGCCCATTGCTTTCCTTTAATCAACTTTCCCTCTCACTTCATCTAAAAATTCAATTGGATCAATGAAGCACAATCTACCTTACACAAACCCATGCCGCCTCTCCTTAATTAGCTCAAATCTGTCAGACCAAGTCCCCTGATTTATTTCTAAAATCTTGCCCTCTGCTGATGTTAAACTGACCAGCTTGTAATTACTGGAACATCACGGCAATCTCTTTTAAGTAGGGTGTCACATTTGCCGCACTCCAATCCTCTGACGCCTTCCCATTATTTTTGGAAGATAAGACTATGGCAAACTATTCTACTATCATCTTCCTATTGCAATCTGGGATATAAACAATCTAGACTAGGAGACAGGCCAGCTTTTCCAGTCCATCCTTTTGATCACCCCATCCATTAGTTCTACCAATGCCATTTTTACCAATATTTTGGCAGCATCCACTTTCTAAGTAAACACAAATACAAAGTATTCATTAAGTATTCTCAACTTGCTCTGCACATATAAACATATATCACTGTCTCGTCCCCTAATAAAGCCCAGCCCACCTGTTAATACCTCTTACTATTTACATGTGAATTGAAGATTTATGGGTTTCCTTCAATGTTAGTTGGCATTCTATTCTAATTCTCTCTTTGCCAGTCAAATTTTCCTTTCCCCCTCTCCTTTCAAATTACTGTACTTGGCCTGATTCTTGCTTGCAGTATTCGACTGATATGTGTCATGCCTCTTTTTGTTTAGTCATATTCATTTTCTTCCCCCTAAAGTGCAATAGGCCCTGGCTTGGATTCCTTTACCTTTCCACCTCATTGGAATGTACCGAGTCTGTACCCGAAACACACTTACTTAAAAATCTCTAAGCATTCCATTTCACCATGGCTAGCTCCCCTCTTGTTCTGTTGAAGTTTACTCTTCCAATATTGAAGTTTTACTTTATGTTGACCTTTGCTCTATGCTAATTGCTAATCCGGCATTAATTTACATCTTAAGATATAATGATCCTCCATGCATTTTAGTCCACTTGGCCACCTCATTCCCCAGTGCCAGTTTTAGCAATGCCTCCTTCCTAACTGGACTAAGGACATACTGGTCAAGCAAGCTCAAAAACTTTTCACAATTCATCATCTTAGCTCACCTTTACTCCCAATATCCAAAATAATATTTGGGTGACTTAAATCCCCCAGACTCTCAACTCTATAGTTTTTACATAGTTCTGTGATTTCCCCTGCAGATTTGCTTTTCTATCTTTTATTATTTGGAGGCCTCTAGATGCAGCTGATAGTGTGATCATTCTCTTTGCTGCTTCTCAACTCTAACCAAATAGATTCTGTCTTTGCCTCTGCCTCTTCCAGAATGTCCTGTCTTTCCAACACTACAATGCCTTCACCCTAATTCCCTTCTTTCCTTCCCTTTCTTCTCTGGATACTTATTTATCTTTGAAAATTAAGTGCCCAGACCTCACCAATTTTAAGCCATTCCCATTGTTGCCACTACATGATATTCCCACATTGTTATTTGTGCTTAAAATGTGGAACATAAAGCTGCTGTATTATGTGTTTTCATGACTGTGACTTTGTATTCATTGTAGTCCATGTAAGTCTGCACCTATCCAATAAGATACTGTTTCCTTCTCCAGTGCTATCCAAACTCTCACTCCTTAATGCTGTCTTCCTTCTTTCTACTTCTCAGTGTTGTTTTCCCCGTGCCTGTTTAATTTAAATTCACCAGAGCCACACAAATGAACCTTGCTACGAGCACATTGGTCCCAATTATGTTGCTTCCATGACAAGGAAACAACTATGCCATTTTAAATAGGTACGTCCTGCCTCACATCCGGTCCAAATGCCCCAAGAATCTCCATGCTGCATCATCCCTGAAATGACACATTGATTTTCACAATCTTAACATTTCCATTCTCACTCACACGGTGTAATCCTGAGATTTCTACCTTTTGAGGTACTACTTACGTAACTTTTGCCATAGTTCGTGAAAATATGATTTAGACCTTAATCCCTGCTCTCTCTGTACCATTGATACTGACATACCACAACATCTGGCTCACTTCTCTTCCCTTTGCATTATTTTGCATTCCTCACCCTATGCATTATATACTTTGGCATTAAGCAACTTGTGGACTCTGATAGTTACAGATATGTGGATCTATCCCTAATTATAGAAACTATAACAACTGCATTTCTACCCTTGCTGTTCTTTCATGTACATTTTTATTACCATTGATGTCTTTAGCCAAACTGCAAACCTTCAAAGAGTCACACTGCCAGCACTGTCCAATGCTGTGTCTCACATGATGCAGAATTACAAACAATGTGACTCACTCATCCCATCATCTAAGTAATCTTCTTTCCCTCTTTTAAAATCTAGTTTGCATTTAATTTAAATTACTAATTTTATTTATTGCCTCTGAACCTGTTTTCTGATGATAGTAAGTAAATTAATAAAACTATTATACCCAATTTAAATTTTTGATTTCCTAGTTTAAATACAAAAAGAGAAATATTCACCAACAAATCACTTGCCCATTTTCCTCTGACATCGCACTTTTATTTGTTTTACCTTCTTTCAAAAATGCCTTGCTTTGTTAATGACATTGTGTTGCCACTTTCAACTAAATGTTTCTGGCACTGTTGATGTTCATTCTCATTGTCTGCCCTATGACTTTAGAGATGCCACTTTAAGACCGTAAGGCATATGAGCAGAAGTAGGCTGCTCCACCATATAGTGAGATCACAGTGGATCTGATAATATCAACTCCACTTTCCTTCCCTTTCCCTATAACCCTTGATTCCCTTACTGATCAAAAATCTGTCTGTTTCAGCCTTGAATATACTTTAATACCCAGCCTCCACAGCCTTCCATGGTTAAGAATTCCACAAATTCACTACTTTCTGAGAAAAGACTTATTCCTGTATAGTGTTCTTTCTCAGGCTCACTCCGTCTCCTTCTGTTTGTTTTTTTACACTCTTTCCTTGCTGTAAAAACCTTTTAAAAATTTTTACATCGGTTGAATGATGTGAAACTGGGTTTATAATTAATGATTTAAAAAAAAAATCCAGTGACCGAGTGAGTAGTTTTATGTTTCTTGAATATTAAATTTCACCAAATGATTTCACATTTTAAACACTTTAATTTTTAACTTTAAGCAAAGTTCCATATATATTATTTCAAAACATTAAAAAGGAAGGAAATTGATGGTTTTTACTTTCTCATCTGCTGTCTGACAGTATACTTCATTGAGTTTGACAACTTGCTCTTCTTGGTTATATCACTGTTACTGAAGACGTAGTGATCCTGTGACTTGGTGCCAGATTCACACTGACATCAGGAAAGGGGAAATCAACACCAGAGAACTTTTTGGGCTGTTGTTTCTCAGTGGTGATTGGCATCTCTTCATTGCAATATCTGGACCAAAATTTTTAATATAGTAATATTTTAGACATCTAAAAGTCAGAGTATTAATTGGGTAGTACTTTCTAGTACTGTGTTAATTGGTTATCGCTAGTTGAGTTTGCAGTGACAACTTTTTTTTAAACTAAAAAAACTTCGGAAAAGTTAAACATTTGATTAACTTTTTTCATTTGCAGCATCTTCTCTCCAAGCAACATCAAGACTTTGCCAGTGACTCCTCTCAGTTTGCAGCCCTTGATGATATTATGTCTCAATTAGAAAACGAATTTGTACAGTACCAAAGTGATGGATACACCCAGCGGTAAAAATATTTTATATATATTTAACTCAGAATAATTTTGTGCAGTGTATTTATTAAGAATATTTTGTTGAATGCTCTTAAACAGCAAATGTTGGGGTTTATAAATTTCCCCCCACACCACTAGAATGTATTGAGTCACTGTCAAATCATAAAACAGAACTTCTACTTTTCGACTTTAAAATATTTGGGAATGATTGCCACCGCGAAGTATATTGCATTTCATCTTTGAAATATGATTATTAGTGTTTTTTGATGATGACTAAAGATCCTTAAATAAAATACTTCTGGCCAAGTCTTTTAGGGAAAAGATTAGATTACTGTTTGATATGAGTCCAAAACAGCAAACAGTAGTTTCATAGGGAGACTCACCTAAAGGACAAAAGGAGATGTTAAGGAGTAAAGAAAAATCCCTGCTGGCAAGACCAGCATTTGTTGCCTTTGAGAAGGGGTGGCAAGCTCCTTTCTTTGATAGAATTGAGTGTTTGCTATGCTATTACAAACAGTAGTTAAAAGACAACCATATTGCTGTGAGCTACCTATTTGCCAGACTAGGCAACGATGGCTAATCTTCTTTCTGAGAGTACATTAATGAACCAGATGGATTTTTACAATGTTATGATCTCCTGAAAAACCAGTAATGTTTTAAAAATAAATTTGTCAGGATATTGACTGATGATGTTGGTCATATTCAACTCCTATCATACTGAAGCAGTCAGTGCCTATTATGTAACATGACCTTGATATATGAAAGAACTGCGGATCCTGTAAATCGGGAGCAAAAACAGAACCTGCTGGAAAAGCTCAGCAGGTCTGGCAGTGTCTGTGAAGAAAAAAAATCCGAGTTAACGTTTTGGGTCCAGTGACCCTTCCTCTGAACTGGGGTTCAGAACCTTAGAACTGTTCTGAGGAAGGGTCACTGGACCCAAAATGTTAACTCTGATTTTTTTTTTTTCTTCACAGATGCTGTCAGACCTGCTGAGCTTTTCTAGCAACTTCTGTTTTTGCTGATGACCTTGTCAATGTCCAGGCTTGAACTGAGTAGCAAATAACATTCATGCCACACAAATGCTGGGCAATGACCATCTTCAACAAGAGAGAACCTAACCATCTGTTTTTGACATTCAGTGGCATAACCATTGCTGAATCCTCCAAATTCAAAATCCAGGGAGTTACTAGTGACAAAAACAGAAATTTGCTACCTAAAACTGCAGTTACAAGAGCAGGCCAGAGACTTGGAGTTCTGCAGTAAGTAACTCACTCCAAACTCTCAAAAGCTTGCCTGTAAGGGAGAAATAAGTAGTGTGATACAATACTCTCCACTTGGCTGAATGCGTGCAATTTCAACAACATGCAAGATGTTCAGCACCATCCAGGATAAAGCAGCCTGTTTGACGAGCACCCCATCCAACACTTAATGATTACTTCCTCCATCACTGAAGCAGAATGGCAGCAATGTGTACCAACTACTAGTTACTAAACAATGATCTCTGCTGCTTGAAGGGCAGCCGATGCTTGAGAAGTACACAATTTGCAAGCTGCCTTCCAAGCCTTGCACCACACGGCTTGGAACAGTGTTGCTGTTCCTTCACTGTCCCAGGGTCCTTTCCTACCAGCACTGCCTATGTAGTTACCACAATGAAATACCCCCATAGATCAGCTGTTCAAGAAGGTGGCTCACTGCTTCCTTTTCAAGGGCAATTAGGAATATTGATAAGTGGAGGCCCAACCAGTGATACCCATATATGTGAATGAATAGAAAATAACTTCTAATCCCTGAACCGGCTTTATGATGAAGGCTACCCAAGAAATTTGGTAAGTCTTCCAGTCTTGATTAAATCCTTATGAGTTTGACCTCTCCAATCTGAGCATAAGCTGTTGTCTATATTATTATTTGCTGCCCATTTCTCGACTGTGTCAGTCTTGTTCTGACAGAATCGTCGATAATCTGTAATGTTTAGTGAAATTTTAGGAAAGCACCCTATAAACTAATATGGCTTCCCATGGACTCTCCCCTCTTGCAGCCCATCTCCATGCCAATGTGAATCATATTGACCTTGCATTCAGGTAGAAAATGTAATTAGTCATTCTTCAAACTCCCAACTTCATTCTGTCTTTAAATAGAAGTAGAACCATTCACAAAACCTGCATACCTCATACCTTAAACTTTGGAGATTAATGGCTGTTACTGCAGCTGTTTTTGTCATTAGTTACTCGTGTGAAAACCTTGCACTTTTTTTTCCCCAATAAAACAACCTGGGTTCTTGTTAATCTTTAACATCCAAACCCACTGAGGCTTGCTGACAGCAGAATTTGGTACAAGTCACTTCTTCTGTTTTGTTTCTTCATTCTACCCAATCCCAAAGCTTAATCTTAAACAACCTCTGACTTGTAGCAATGACAATGTGGTAGTTTTATATTTACCACTACTGGTATTAGCTTTTTACTGGTTTTAGCTTACTTAAAGAGGAATATATTTGCATCTGAAATAGTTCAGGGGAAGTTCAGTAGGTAACTTACCAGGATGAAGGAATTGTCCTCTGAGCAAAGGTTGAACATCTTGCACTCATTTATGTTTAAGAGAATTGGAGCTGGTCTTAATGAAAAGTAGAAGATTCCAGGGTGACTTAACAGCAGAGGTGCTGAAAGGAAGTTTTGTTGGGAAAATTAGAACTAGAGGACACAATTTAAAAATAAAGAGTCTCCAATTTAAGACAGAGATGTGAAGGAATTTCTTGTCTCAGAAGATCATTGGCTTTGCAATCAGAACACTGGAAGCTGAATCATTGAATGAGTTAGACACATATTTGATTTACAAGGGAGTCAAGGGTTCTTGGACAAATGAGCAATTGTTGTTAAGGCCACAGTTGGATCAGCTGTGATCTTACTGAATGTGCAGCAAGCTTGATGGGTTCAATGGTTCACTGCTCCTATTACTTATGATTTACCTTTTAATAGCTTCCCCGCGCCACCCCCCACCCAAACATCACCACCTCTTACTACCTGCTTACTATTTTTATGCCAGTCAAAGATTTTTGGGTTTCCTTCTGTTTGCTAACATTCTTTTTCTCATATTCTCTCTTTGTCTGTATTTCCCTCCTCGACCTATCATATTTGGCCTGATTTTCAAATGTAGAATTCACCTGATGCACATCATTTTTCGTTTCATCATATTCTCACTTTCTTTCTTCAACTGAGGAGTCCCTGCTTTGGCTCCTTTACCTTGTGCTTTCATTAGCGTGTACTAGAAATGTCACTTTAAGATAATGAGATTGAAGAAATATAAGAATTGGGTGGACAAATATGATGAAAACTACTTACTTGTATGGAGAGGATAAGTCAACCCTGACTGTTTGGACTAAATAGGCTATTTCTGTGTCATAACCTTTTTGTATCCCTCTGCCTGGATCAATCTATAATTCGAAAATAAATTAAGTACTCAAGGTTTTTTTTTCCCCATTTTTGAATCAAGGCAAACTCCAGGAGTAGAAAATAATCTATTTTGTGTCTCTGATTTTTTTTTTTCCTTTGGACACCATGGCACTTGTTGATATTGATTAATGGTGAACAAATTGAATAAGCAAGATTTCAAAGCCCAGGCATTGGAACTCTTAGCATCAACTTCACTTAAAAATTGTACAGGACAATGGCAAGATTTCAAGTATATTGAATTTTACACCCGTTTTTAACTTTTATGTTCATATAGATTTGTGCTTTTATTTCAGATCCATGAAATTTGCTTCAAGCTGTGGAATTTCACGGTCCAAAATGTACACAAAATCGATGCAGGCTGTTAATGACTTTGTCCTTGGAGAAGACAAATGTTCACTTGAGTCTATGGCTGCAAGCCAACAGATAAACTTTCCTGTAAAAAATCTGGAAAGAATTGAGGAGAATGATCAGAATTCAAAGGTGTATCATGTGATACCTGACAAAACAACAGATGAGCTGACTCAAGAAAGACTGAAACTTAATGGACACAGATCCTGCTCCCTTCAGCAGGATCATGATCTGGTTTCTTTGAGCTCCCTGAGTCAAATAACTGCATGCCCAAAACAGTTGGAGGTAAAACCTCCAGATTGTATTTTACTAGACTTCAACACAGGAGTATCAGCAGAGAGGACAACTAGCTACGTGCCTAATGAACAAACAGATGTTGGAGTTGGTTTTGTGCAAAAAAAACCATGTGGTGGTGACAAAGATGAAATTTCAGATGAGCAGGAGCATGTGAAATATACATCAGTTGAAGCTTCGTATTGTGTAGAGGCAATTCCTGACTCATGGAAGGCTGCTTGTGATATAATTACAACAGATACCAACTTTAGTTTTAAAAAACGCAAGCGCTCTGACAACACCAGTTCACAAATTGAGAGAAGTCCAAGATGCAGATTGGATGCACTGACTAATGTTTGTGACTGTTTCTCTTTCCCTAAAAGTGGAAATTGCCTTGCCAGAAATTTCAATGCACATATATTTCGACCACATAATGAACTGCTTTATTCATCTAATCTGGATAAAACCTTTACTTCTCATTCTTGTGTTGAAAAGAACATGTTTCCTTCTGTATGTTCACTGAACATCTCCGTGGGGGAGCATTTTGATTTGACTGGTAATTCTAGTTTACATAGGCCTTTGACTAGTAAAGAAATCCTTGTAAACTTGCAAAGCAGTAGAGCCAAAGGTGAATGTGAAAACTGGGAGAAGTCACAAACTGTCATTTTGGATTCAGAAGTAAAACTAAGCAACTTAGCAAATACCACGTCTACAGCTGGTGAGGTTGATCGACCCAAAGAAGTTCTGCATTCTAAAGAGCAAATAGCAATTCCTTTAAGTAGTGTGATGATTCAAGCTGAAAAAGATTTGCTGTCGGCTTCTCAAAACAATCAAGTTGTTTTTGACGTTGAAGCTGAAATTCATAATACAAATGAGGAAATTGAACACTCAAATGTAGCAGGAAATACAGCAATGCAGCTACTTTCTTCCTTTAAATCCAATGGCCAGAAATCTTTGGGATTTGATGCTGTCCTATGTACGAAAGCTGATTTGCGAGTGGATGAAAGTAGATATAAAAATTCTGTCAACGAAACTAACTTCCATCAGTCTTCCTTTAAAAATAACATATTCCACACAGACAGCTTTTCATCAGAATCTGAATGGGATATTCAGTTGCCTTCTAGAATTGATAATAGACAAATTAAAGACAAATCTGTTGACTTGGAGCTCTTGCGAAAGACTTGTGTTAGTATGAAAGATGCCAAGTATGAGACACAGTTATACTCTGTACTAAAGGACAAAGCTGAGGTAGATTGGACCAGAAAAGAAGAGAGATGTCTCATGAGCTGTCAAACTGAAACACGTCCACCGTGTTATTTAACACTTCTGCCCTATCTGGACAGTTATACTAATTAATAATACAGTGCCAAAGTTATTTGAAAGATTCAATTCACTCTTTCATCACACTTTATAAATTGTAAATGATTTTACTTCTGAGAGCTAATCGGTTCATAAACCACATTGCAATCATTTTTAACATTCCAAGTCACAGGTTATATTAGTTCTGATTGAGTTTATGCTCCAAAGTCACCTTTAGTTAACATGCAGTGCAGTAGATTAAGTGGCGCATGTACGACCGCAATAAGAGCCTACTTTGTCAAAGGAAAGTGTTTTTACCTTCCTTCCATGCATCCTTTCTTTCCCTTCCCCACTACTATGAATTTGCTACACAAAAGGAACAAAATAAAATCTAAACGCTCATAAGACATAAACATCAATGTTCCATTTTGGCAGTGCAATGAAAATCAAGTTCATTATGCTTTTCCACCCAATGGTCGGATATTTTTGTGGTCACAAAAGTGCCAAATCATTAGGAAAACAGAGTACTTCTTCCCTGCCACAAAGGAAAAGTTAATCTTGTTTCATCTTCATTTCGTTCAAATTCTCAATGAACATTCAAATGGCATTGGTGTAGGTCCAGGAGCAGGTTCCACAGGCTGCTTACTTGAATATACAATGTGGTAGAATTTAAATTCATGTGCGCAGCGTTGTCTATAAAATGGTTGCTCTCTTGAAGCACTGATTAGTGTAAGCATTTACCTGAGGAAGAGTATGTTAAATTATAAATTAATTAGGGGGTGGAGAGTGTTGGCAGCTTTTTCAGGCAACAGTACAACGTGCACAGCAAATAATTCCACCTAGTTGTATTTAATATGATTGAAATTTGTTTACAATTTCAAACGGTATGATTTGTGTTGAGATAGTCCTGCAAATATTGCATAAATTCATTAACATTTACTCGCAGGCATTCGAAACCATCAGCAGTGACCATTCTACCGCATTTTGACTTTTTATGTTGATGAACAGCTTGTTAGCAGTATGTACAAGGTAGGATATGCGTTGAATTTGCATTTGCTATTGTGAGTACTAAACAAAGGCTACAATGCAAATATATGTTAGAAAACATTAGATGCAAACCCCATTCAATCTATAGGCATGGATAAAGGCACACGTCGTTCCGTTGTACTGAAAAAAAAAATCAACATTTGCTTGGTGTTACTGACATTTAATGTATTGTGTCCTTAGACCTGATATTTTGGGTCTCCATTTGACTGACTGGTAATGTGAATTTGCATATCCATTGACCTAATTTGTCTTGAATACTTTGTCTTGCTATTGATTACCTTGGCTCAGACACCAGCTAATCAGCATTTCTGTTTGAAAGAATGGAAGTTAAAAATTAAAAATGCTGGTTCCATTTGGTAAAGGAAACATGAGAGAGGAGTTAGGAAAAGTGAAATAGTTTTATGGAGACAGATTTGTAAAATTTATATTATTAAAAGTGTTTATGCTTTTATTTTCTTTCACCCAAAAAACAGCTACCTATTATAGAATTTACATTTAGGAAGTTGTGAGCTCTTAGCAGCCACACATTTAAAAAGAAGTCTAGTTTAATCTGAAATGCTTATGTTAAAATGTACAAGTTTTATTTGTTGGTATGTTTCAGCAATTAATTTTAAATCAAAGTAGTTGCCTTTGATCTTTGAAAATCTTAAAGGAGGAGCAGCAGCAAATTTGTTGTTATAGTTTTATCACCAGAATCTTGCCAATTTAAATATTTTTATTTAAAGTAGCACTTGCTGCTTTCCTGCTTTTGGCATTTTGAATGTGAGCAAGGTGAACAGATTGCAGTTAAATTTCTTCATTATCCAGGCAATGCGTGATAGGCTAGATTAGATTGACTAGAGTCACTAGATATGCCAATTGAAAAAAGAAGTTTCCTGCATTATCCTAATCGTTCAGATTTTTACAGATGTTTATTTGTTGGTATATCTTAAAAATGAATCTGACTTGATAATAGCATCATTTGTGGCATTTTATTCGTTTTCTAACTATGAATACTCAATTTTAAAGTAATTTAATGAATAGGTTCTATACATTGTCATTCTTTTGATAGAGAGCACGCTTTTTTTTTGTTTTTAAACTGTCTCCAGTAAATCCTTCATACTATAAAGGACCACCTCTGTCAAACATGAGCTCTTGAAATCTGTACAGATGTATAATTTTAATCATGACATGTACATTGGCATATACATTATTTTGTGGAGAATCATTGAAATAAATGTTGAAATACAGCTCTTTGATTAATTTTCTGGGCATTGTGGAAAAAATGGAAGGATCTAAAGACCTTGTATATGCAAAAATACACTTCATGGGTATTTATATAGTTCCTCTAATGCAATTAAAGATCGTAAGATGCTTCACAGGAATATTATATAACAAAATTTGACACTGAGCGACATAAACTTTTAGCCATCTGACCTGAAATCTTGGTCAAAGTAGTAGGTTTTAAAGAGCATTTAAAAAGGGTTAAAGAGGTTAATAGAGGGAATTCTAGAGCATGCAGCTTTGGCACCTGATGGTCAAACACCAACGTTGAAGTAATTAAAATATGCGATAGTCAGAATGAATGGAGCACATTTATCTTGCAATATTCTTACTCTTGTGGGCTCTTGGAGGAGAGTACAGATCTAGCAAGGGATGAGTCGGGAAGGAATTGAAAACAAATCTCGGCATTTTAAAATCAAGTTTGCGGAAGCAGAAGTCAATGCAGAAGATGAACAAATAGGCGTGAGAGTTAGGATACCGCAATTTTTGATGGTCTCAAGTTTATGGTAGGTAGAAGGATGCTGACGAGGGCAGCATTGGAATATTCATGTTTTGAGGTAACAAGAGCAAGGATGAAGGATTCAACAGCAGGTGACCTGAGGCTGAGTCTGTTTTTTTTTAAATTTTCTTCCTTCTATTCAAATTAATTTGACTAAAGCAATTGTGTTTGTTTCTTAAACTGGTTTAAAAATTCCTACTTCCCCAGTTGGAAGAGAGAGCTTAATTCTGATTGTTTTGTTCGTTCATTCGTTCGTTCATTCATTCTACTGACAGAGGTATTTAGAGAGGAAAATCGGAATTAATCTCTAATAATAATAATAATGGACATTCCAGACGAACTGGCCTCATATGTCAAAGATATCTGTGAAATAATTGGCACACCTTTACTAATTCTAGCACTGCTTTGACCTTACTGTTAAAAATCTGTAAAGAGAGACGGACCAGTTAGGACTATATTTACTGAAGTTTAGCAAAATGAGGAGGAATCTCAATGAACGCTATAAAATTGTAATGGGACTAGACAGGAATGATGTTCCTAATGCAGGATTGATGTTCCTAATGACTGGGGAATCCAGAACCAAGAGTCACAGTCTAAGGATACAAGGTAGGCAATTTAGGACTTAGACCAGGAGAAAATTCTTTACCCAAAGAATGATGAGCCTGTGGAATTATTTGCCACAGAAAGTGGTTGAGGCTAAAATATTGAGTGTTTCAAGAAAAAGTAAATAATTACAGGTATTTCTCCTATAATGCAATAGTTACATTCTTGAGTGATCTTGCGCTATAGAAAATCGCATTATAGGGAAATTACTATACTATACAGTAGAAAGTTGGCATTATTCAAAGTGTCCACTAGTCATCAATGACATTACAGTCAATTCACATTAGCGAAACATGTGTTTATAGCATAAATACCTGTATTAGGAGAAAGGAAGGACCATGTACTGAGTTGACGATCAGCCATAATTCTATTGCATGGTGGAGCAGGCTCACAGGGCTGAATGGCCTACTCTTATTTTCTATGTAAACTGTTCATTGTGTTTCTTCCACAGGCCTATTTATGATTAGCAAGGACCAAAATGTCCTTTACAGAATGGTACTTGCCATCATTACCAAATCTAGCCTGTATGGGACTGAGATAACAGAGTGGAGCTGGAGGAACACAACAGGCCAGGCAGCATCAGAAGAGTAGGAAAGTTGACGTTTCGGGTCAGGACCCTTCTTCAGAAATGGGGGAGGGGGGAAGAGAGCTCCGAAATAAATAGAGGGGAGGCGTGGGCTAATGGCTTAAATGTGGACTTTACCAGTTTCAAAATCTCCCCACCTCCAGCCTTATCCCATGACCAACCCTTCCTGTCATCCCCGCCTCCTTGACCTGACAAACATGTCCATCTTCTCTCCCACCTATCCGCTCCTCCCATCTCACTGACCAATCCCCACCACTGCCTACCTGCACTCACCTATCACCATCCCATCGACCTTCCCCAGCCCCACCCCTCCTCTCTATTTATTTCTGAGTTCCCTTCTCCCTCCCCCATTTCTGAAGAAGTCCCGACCCGAAACATCAACTTTCCTACTTCTCTGATGCTGCCTGGCATGCTGTGTTCCTCCAGCTCCACACTGTGTTATCTCTGACTCTAGAATCGGCAATTCTTACTATCTCTGTATGGGACTGAGCCTTTTCCTGCTGTCTAAAGTAACCTAGGAAGCTATTCCTTTTTATCATCTGGCAGAGATTAAAGAAGGCCTGCCACCACCTCCTGGAGGAATGGACAATGATGCCGTCTTGCGTGATGCCCACAACCTGTGAACGTATTTAAAATTGCAGCAGTGTTTATGCCTGCAGCTCATTTCATGAGCGATTTTCTTCCACATAGGATCAATTTCCACAAACACTGACCAAGGTCTACCAGCCAATTGATGATCCTAGTGAGTATGTTAATAAACTTAGTATGTTATTCAGTGACAGATTATCATTTTAAATAACATACTCCATATACCCTCAGGAATAACCCTTCACATGAGCAGGATTGCAGACAAGTGAATTGTGATTGATGAGAGATGGGCACATCTCATTTAGAATTGGGTTTATTGTCTCATGTATTCCAGTTACAAAAGAACAGGAGTGCAGTGAAAAGTGCACAATGTTGCCAACACATGGTGCTATCTTAGGCACAAATTACCTAGGTATAACTCTTAGATACAAAACATAGAGAAAATAAAGAAAAAAAGTTACGCTACATTACAGACACACACAGCACAAGCACAAGTTAAGAAAATAAATAAAGCTAAAAAGATAGACATTACAGTCTCGCCACAAGGATTTCCACTTCGTCTGACCAGGCTCCACCGGCTCCCAACCAGCAACCAACCCTGCTTCAGGCCTGACGTTTGGGCCAGAGAGCAGAGGAAGAGAAAGGATTTGATACCATTGGCTCAATTCTTTGTTTTACTTCATGTCAGTTGATCCAAGGTTTTTTCGCATTCTGATATTATAATGACTCATCATTTATGATTAGGCTATGCACACTATTATATCTGAACAAAAACACAATGGACAGAATTTTCCCAAGACATTGAATGTAGATTAGCTGAAGTAAGTTGGTGACGTACTACGAGGTGATGCCAGTTTATGATCCTGACCTCTTTTTGCCTTCCCCAGGGTGGCATTGAAGAGACCCAGAGAAATTTCCCCCGACCTGTTGAGTAAATAGAGATGTTGGTAAGGTAGTTAATTTAACTGAAATATCTAAAAGCCTTAAATCCTACATTCACAGCCCTGGAACATATTTTCTAACCTATCAGCAACTCATCAGGGCAAGTGCTCAGTAAGTACAAATTTTCAGTGAGACTGATAGCCTGGAAAGGCTTTAATCGGTGAAACTGAAGAGCTGCCAGAGAGAGACTACTGTTCAAAGTACTTTTGTCAGTGTGCTTTCACTGTTCCATTTTTAGAAGGCGCTTGACCTGCATAGCACTTCTTGTGTCACCTAATCCTGAAGAAAACTGAATATGAGTATATTTTTCACTTTTATTTTGAGTATTGTTGACTACTCACCTTCAGCTGTACTTTGTTGGCAGCCCTTGCCACAGCATGGGAGCAGATTATGCGGCTGCTCTTTGTACCTGCTGTGAACTAAGGACAGATGTCATGCCAGCATTAGCAATTCCAGCAGCATCTGGAACAACATGAGTAGCAGCAGCATCTCCTTAGCTGCCTGGTAACCTGCTCCCTAGGACTTTGGTCACCAGGTTATGAGCTTTCTTCCCTGAGATAAGGGAAACTGGTGTGGCAATCCAAAATAGTTGGGTATAGAGAATAGAGATATACCATTTGTGGAGGATGACAAAGGCATCAGTAGAAGAGAGCAACAGGGAGAAAATGAATATTGGCCAACCAGATGAGGATGTGAGGTGCAGTGAAAAGAGAATGAATGGAGCTGTCCAATGTGGTGTTCTGAGCTATTCTGTGGCAGGGGTACACTGGTAAAGTCCAGTGTTTGGACTTGGCACCTAAACCTGTTGTCATTCGCCCCTCTGACCTCCCAAATGTCCTGATTCCTCTCAGTGAACTGTACCCAGATTGGACGGAGCACACTTCTGCTGCTGACTTCTTTGGCCACTTATATCTACATCTACTTGGTTCGAGAGTTTGTCACTTTCCTCCCATCTTTGGTAGAGCTCACTACATTGTGTCCCTCGGATTCCCACAGGATGACCTCCAGGTAAAACTGAAAGATCTGGAGCAGATCTCCCAGGTCCCCCCTCCATTTGTGTGATTGCTGAAAGCTGAAAAATCTTAATGCTGGTGATTTACATCCTGTGATCCCTTTTAATCAGAAATTCTTGCTTTGGCAAAATGGACTCATCATCCTACCAACCTCCCAAAATGATCAGGGGACACATGAAGAGGATATCAGTTGGCTTATTCTGGTAGAGTAGGTGATAGGCATGCCATCCAGAGAATCCAGTTCCAAACCAAAAGTGGTTCTGTCATCGTTTTGGTAAAGACTAAGGCTGGAAGATTCTCCTCGTGGTCTCAAATTTGGGTCTTCTGAGTTCCTGCTTACCTTTGTTCTGATCTTTACTACTTCCTATGTTGATATTTTTAATGGAAATCGTCTAATTATTCACTTGTGTCCTACTTTATTCAACTATGGAATGGAGCTGTTTGACATTTTTACCTTATTTTTTAATCTTCAATTAGCCCAGAAGGATCCATTATCCTACCTCTTTCTCCCACTTATACAAGAGTTGCATCATGTATTTATTTTATGCTCCTCTTTTAATATGCTATTGGAATAATTAGGATTATAATTGTGTCCTTCACTCCCTGTTATAGCACAAAGCACTTGGAGTGGTATGCCTTGCATAATAAATCCATAAGGAAGTCATGGGCCACAGTTTTCATAGAATCCCTACACTGTGGAAGCAGGCCTATTTAGCCCATCGAGTCCACATTGACCCTCTGAAGAGCATCCCTCCCAAACACACCCCTCTAAACTATACCTGTAACCCTGAGCCACCGTGTCACCCCACAATGGTACGATGTGTGATATTTTTAAGGTATCAGGATTGGTAGTCTTCACAGGTGCATTGTTTATAAGTAAAAACCTAAAACCAGACTGCAGAAATTCAATTCCAGCCTCCATCTACTCTTGCACTGAACATTCTGAAGAGTAAAATAAAAGCAGCCTGTAACTGCCTTGCTCTTCTCAGGGTCAAGGATGTCACTGAACAACTGCAGAGCACATACCTTCTTCTTTAAACTAAAGAATAAGATAAAGGGGTCCAGCAAAAATATTTTTGGAAGTTAGGAAGGAGACTAATAAGCAAGGCCTCAAATACATTCCAGAGGCAAACAGAAGTAAATACATGACTGAGAGGGAGGGCAGGAGGGAGGGATTTAATTTCCTGGGATATCAAGACTGGTTTTTGGCAAGGTGGGATCAATAGAGGCCAAAAGGTTACACCTTTATCAGAATCAAAATCAGAGGTGTAATTGTATGAGGGATTTGTTCTGTCCTGGCTCTCTTGTGTTATCAACCTGGTGAAAAGGTGTCTACTCCATGAAAAGCAGAGTAAAAAGTTTTTTTTTAGACCAAGAAGTATGAGTGGGTGGAGTCAGGCTCGCACAGAGCCAGAGTTTAAGTTTTTGCTTTCAGTTGTTGAAGATGGGTTTTTTTGGAATTGAAGCTGCTGGCTGCAGCTCTCTCTGCTGTTGCAAAAAGTTTGAGCCATCTTTCTCTGCTGCTAGATTCTTTTTTTTTTTTTCAGTTTTTTATTCTTTCTCCTGGATTGAAGGAGATAGCAAGTGAGCAAATCTGTTTTGCTGAATTTGACTTTACCAAGGGTTTGCTTATGGGATGTTGCTATATATGAATAGTGGATGAGTAGGAGTTAAATAATATTTTATTAAGTATTTTGATAGTTATAACGTTATGTTAATTCTTTTTCTGTTTGTACCTTAGCTGCAGTGTAAGAATAAAGTGCATTTTGCTTAAAGTCTAGTAGTTTGACCAATCAAATCACACCTGGAATACAACACCTTACACTTGCCTTGAAATGATTTAAGTGTTAGGATTTAAGCTATCTCCTTGATATATTTTGAGGGGGTTTGGTCTGGTTCATCTCAGTGGTCTAGCAAGGCAGTTTGCTAGTTGTGTTAAAGAAGGTTTAAAATAACCTTGCAGGGCAATAGCAGCCAGCATGTAGCTTTACAAAGGAGAAAGAAGGTGCACAAATTTTGGGGGACACAGATGGTGATAATGTAAGAATTAACAAGATGTGGTCAGAGTAAGACAGAGTGTAATAACTTTGAAATTACATTGTTAATATATGTTTGTAAGTGCAAGAAACATCGTAAATAGATTGGTAAACTATCATCTTTTGATGTCAACAGGAATGTGGTATAGAAAAGTGGATGTTAAACATTCATGGATTTTCCGAAAAAAGGGGCGTATAGGACAAATGGCAGCATTGACAAAGGAGAACATTATTACTTTAGAGAGGTTAGCCTGGAGTGGACAGAGACAGAATCTGTTTGGTAAATAGTAGCCATGTTGCCAATGTGTGTTGGTAGTAGGGGGGAGCAAGTGCTAAAGGTGGTGACTGAGTTGCCAAATAAGCAGGCTACTTTGTCCTGGATGATGCCAAGCTTCAAGATGCCAAGATGCACTCATCCAGGCAAGTGGATAGAATTCCATCATATCAGCAGATGAAATTCTCACTGCAGGATGCCTAGCCTCTGACTTGTTTTTTTAGTAACAGTATTGATATGGCTGGTCCAGTTCCTCTTCTGTCCAATGGTAATCCAGAGGACATTGATAATTATGCACGTCAGCTGGTCTTCACTGCCAGGCTGGTAGGTAGCCTGTGCCTTTGGGAAGAATGCTTGGAGCCTAGATTGCGTCTGGCCATCAATAAAGCATCTCAGAAATTCCTCCTGGTCTTACCTTGAAGCCTGCCCTAATTGGACCAAAAGCTTCCACCCAAAGGTTCAGGTCAGTGACCTTTCATCAGAGAACAAAACATCTATTTCACTTCCCAAGCCCTTCAATAAATTCTGTGTCATATGTCTGTGATGATTGAGATTTTTCAGTGACCAGTTCTTAATTTTCCAATTACTGTTATAGACTTCTGATAAGTAATTTGAATAAGTAAATAACTGAACTTTGTACAAAGTCAAACTTCTTCTGAAGAAGAGTCAACTTTTCAACACTGGGTTTGCAAGTTTCACTTGACCACATTTGGACAGTCTTAAGAACTGCAGGCTTGAACATTGCATCAATTACCCTACTCTAGGTGCGCTGCATTTAGAATAGGATTTGCCAAACTGGAAGGGTTAGGAGCTGACATTTTGGCCTCCAAAGCTGTGGCGACCATGTTGTTCTAACTCAATGTAACAGCAACCTCCCCCCACCACATTCCTTCTAGCGGGTCTCAGTGGGAGACTGACTATGTTCAAGCCTCGAAACAGGATCACAACTGATGGGAGGGTGGGGAAGGAGAAAATTTTAGGAAGCACTGGTTTAGAGAAATTGCTCTGATGGGGGCATGTGATATCAAAAGAAACGATTTTCAGTCAACTGGCTTTGCTGCTCAATGAGTAACGCGATTTGATTGGAGCCAAGTGGCTTGATCTCCTATCATCGAGAAGAGAATAAACGGTGGTGATATTATTGTTCCTCATTGCAGGATTCTGGGACGTAGGCTGGCTTTATTTGGACTGCTGCATCGAACTGGAATGCAGCAGGTACCAAAGGCTCGGAGCGAGATGAGAAAGAATCTACTCTTTCATCCGCGGAGTTGCTGATGGAACAGACTGCGGGAATATGATAGACAGCTTCCAGCCCCTCTGCAGATCCTCATCATAACACCTTCCTTTGTATAGAGAAGGGGAGGGGAGGAGGAGGGGGCCCGGGGAAAGGGTGGGGAAGGAAAGTAAACTTCAAATATATATGTATGTATATTAAGCTTCAAGATTGTGCAAAAGATATGCAACCATGACTTTTGTGCCGTCTTGGATTTTTGTTGCAATCTCCTACCTCACTTGTCCTACAGGTAAGAAAGTGCACTTATTTTTCTTTTGAAAATTGGCGCTTTTCGGATAAATGCCAATGCATCAGTTTTTTTTTCTATCCCTTCTTGTTTGGGCGCAAATGAGCTTAGACTTTATTTTTGGGAATCTGCAATTCATCCATTTATTTTCAATGCGGTTGCTGCATCGACACTATCTGCAGTGCTCAGCAGTCGAGGGACCCGTCAGCAAAACAGCGTCGCCTCCTGGGCTGTTCTTCTCTCAAATTAGTCACACTTTAACATTTGAGGATTGATCCCAGATCAGACATCTTCGACTTTTACACTCCACTTTTCACGTTATTGTTATTGTTGTTATTATTATTGTTATTGAAGGGTTTATTAAAGCTGAGCTACAGGCGGGGAAGGAACAGTGGAACAGCAGGTCCGTCTTACAAGAGGCCACCAAACCTCAGCGATTAATCCACAGTGTTCACTCAGGAAAGGAAATCAAACACAGCCGATTGAACACTAGGGTCCGGAACAACAGCACAGTCTCTCATGTAGGTTTTTATTTAGCTATCTGTGTCCGATTGAATTTTTTTAAAAGAAAATGTTAAATATGCTTTCATTCATCTTTCAGTGCCATTATGGGCAAGACTTTTTTTTAAAACCAAGTGTTCGGCAGAATGAATTGTTACCTAGTCTAGTGGAGCTGTCACTTCTGTACATGGTGCTTACAAGAAGGGCAGGACTGTATTCACAGCCTGTTTCGAATTAACCCCTGCGAGGATCTTATCTTTTGGACCGTTCTTTACGTCAATGTTATAAACCATACGTGAAACACCACCACCATCTGTTTGCTCAGTCTTTTGTTTGCCACTGCTTTGCATGCATCAGCTGGGGCTCAGTGGCAGCCCTCTCCCTTCTGAGTCCCATGGTTCTGGTTTGGATATGGAAGTCGAGGCTGACACTCCAAAACGGGACTTGGGGAGTGTTGCCCTGTCGGAGGTATCGTCTTTCAGATGAGACCAAGGCCACATCAACTTCCTAGTGATCCCCTTTGGTACTACGTTGGGGAAAGCAGGGGTGTAATTCCCAGTATCCTAGCAAATGTTCATCCTCAGCCAATATTACAAAACAGTTACCCAGACATTGCCGGGATTTTGCTGTGTGCATGTCGACCATCACGTTTCTTGTATGACAGAAGTGAAAAATATTCATTGGCTATAAAGCACTTTGAGAGATTAGTGGTCATGAATGGTGCTAGATAAATGCAAGTTTTTTTTTTGTTCAAATCAGTACAGTGCTGGCTAATTAGTTGCAATTTACAGTATTTTCAACATAACATACCAATCAAATGCTTAAAAAAAAGTAAAACCTACATTAAGCAGTTTAATTTTTGATTGATTTGCATTTGCAATATTTGGGAATAAGGTTCTATTGGAGTAATTTTAAAATTGTCATTTCTTAATAACACTGTCAATTCTGTTTTATAGTTTATTCACCTTGCACAAGTGAGCTTCCTGATAGAAGTATTCGGTTCATCCTTCATTTTGGACCTAGATTTGAACCAGTGAGTATGGTATTCAGAGCTGTCAACAGCAGGTGAATGTGAGAGTGGAATTGTTGACCTAAGAGAGTGCAATAAGATTAAATCTTTAGGCTGGGATTTTCCGATGGCCAGATAATCTTTTCTGCAGTGTAGCTGCGAGTTGCACATAGAAAGCCTGAATTCCATAACTTGAGAATGTGTCTGTGTAAATCAGAGAATTCAGAAGGTTCTGCTGCAGTTAAATAAATAGTTATTTGAGCAAAGTTACACAATTAAATACACAGTTTAACTCATCAGTAACTGTTAAACTGACTGTCTGGCTTAGTGCACACACACATCCAAGTGTGCCTCCTCTCTACCCTTTATATCCCCCAGATGCCTGACTTTACTGCTCCCTCTCCATCTGGGACCCAACACACCAGGCACTCGACCCAACTTTCCATACCATCCCTGGAAGCCGACTTCTCCGCCCTCAAATCTGGGAAACCCAATACCATCTTTATTTCCAGGGTCCTAAACAATCGTCTCCTCCACCTTAGGACACGACAACCACCCCCTGGTTCTATCTAGCTCATTCCCTCTTTCCCCCCCTCCCCCCTCCCCTCCCCCACCTCCCTGCCCTCTCCACCTCTAGCACCATCTCAGTATCACAAGGCCAGAAAAGCAACCTCTTTCCCTGGGTCCAAGTTCCCTCTTCCCCACCCTCCCCCAATACTGGACACAAGATACCCTACCCACTTCAACCGAGACTAAAAACCCCATCACATAGCTGGCCTCCTTACACACTACCTACCTGGCATGCTATTATCTAGCACCTCATGTGCCTGGGGCACCCTATCCCTTATCCACCCGGCACCCTGCCACCTCTAACTTCCCAGATATACTTGAACTTTCACAGAGGCTAATAAAGTGACTGTCTGTGAGCTGGACCTGTACGTGACAAAATATGGAAACTGTCTGATATGACAAAGGAACGTGGGTTTGCCTTCCCTTGACTGCTCAGCACTATGAGGGATTTGTCCGAATGAAAGTATAGCTCCACATTTCTGAAAGGAAACCTGATTGGAATCTCTCGTCAGAAACATGGAGCCCTGTTGTTACATAAGAATGGAGTGAAATGACAATATGTATGCATTTGCCTTAGAAAATCTAGCCCATGGAATTCTGTTTGTTGTAAGTGACAGTAGCTGCTTTTGAAGCTTAAGATTGATAAGGAAACTCCTAAAACAACTGGAAGTTTACATGCTTGGAAATAAAATAAGGCAGCATAGGAATGCATCCCAACATTTGGATGATCATAATCAGCTCCTAATCAAAATTATGGTTCTGATTTTCAGTTCAAAGTTTATTCACATTACCTTCATGTCTATCAGCCATCATAATGTTTTCGATGTTGACTGCAGATAACCAAATGGAGAAAAAAAAGAAGAGTTAGCTGCAAAGGTACTGAATTATAATGATGCAAATGAACTTACAAGTTGAGGTAGGAGTGGACCATTTTTCCCTTGCAGCTGCTTCACCACTCAAGGAGCTCATGGCTGATTTGATAGAAACCTCAAATCCACTTTCCTGCCTTTTCATTTTTAAAATTCATTCATGGGATCTGGATGTCTCTGGCTGGCTTAGTATTCAGTGCTCATTCCTTGCTGCCCTTGAACTGAATGGCTTGCTGGGCTGTTTCAGAGGGCAGATATGAATCAACCACATTGCCATGGGTTTATAATGAGATTCAAACCATTATCCCTCGAACATTAATCTAGGACTCTGGATTGCTTGTCTAGTGACAATATTGTTACACCAATGCCTCCCCCTGCTTTCAACTCTTTGTTTAATAAGAATCTATCTACCACTGACTTAAACATATTAAAAGACTCTGCTTCCACTAGCTTTACAGGAAGGAGTTCCAAAGACTGTCAAATTTCTGAGCAAAAACATTTAAATGGTTGCTTTTTAATCAATGATCCCCTAGTTCTAGATTCTCCCATAAGAGGAAACATCCCAACATCTACCTTATCAAGACACTCAGGATTTGATATTTCACTTACTCTTCTGAATTCCAGCGCATGGAAGACTATCGTGTCTAACCTTTCCTCATAAGACAACCCTCCATTCCAGGTCGAAGTCTAGTGAACCTTCGCTGAAGTGCTTACATCCTTAAATAAGGTGACCAATGTTGTACACATTATTCCAAATTTGGTCTCACCAGTGCCCTATATAACTGAAGCATAACCTCCCTCCTCTTGTATTCAGTTCCCCTTGTGATTAATGATAACATTCTTTTAGCTTTTTTAATTACTTGCTGTACCTTCATACAAACTTTTTGTGAATCGTGAATGAGGAACATCCAGCTCCCTCTGAATTTCAGAGCAATGCAGTCTCACAACATTCAGATAATTTACTGATTTTATTCTTCTGGAAAGAGCTTTTTTTCCTGGGAACCAAGCAGTGACAGAAGATTCAAATAAATACTTTGCATCAGTCTTCATGGTTGAATTAACAGCAATTCCAAAAATACTAAATTAAAGGATAAAAGGTGGAGAGGAATTAAATACATTAACTATCACTAAAGGAAAAAGTACTATGGAAACCACTAGGGCTAAATGTCAGTAAGTCGCCTGGACCTAATGGGTAGGATTCTAGGATACTAAAGGAAGTAGGTACAGAGATAGTGAATGCACCAGTATTAATTTTCCAGCAATTCTCAGATTCTGGACAACTGCCAATGTACCACCCTTCATCAAAAAAGGAAGGAGACAAAACCGGTAACATTATGTCAGTTAACTTTAACATTGGAAAAGTATTAAAGTCTGTTAGATTCTGAAACGTTTGATTCTTGATTGCCAACGGAATGAAAGATTATTGGCAGGACTGTAGAGTTGAGCTTAAAATCAGGTAAGCCATGATCTTACTGAATGGAGCAGGTTTGCAAGGTGAGAGATCTTTTGTCTCTTGTTTGTGTGTTTCTTTTATAAAGGATGTAATAGCAGAAGCATTGTAGGGAGTTCAGAGAATGTTCACTCTGTTGATCCTGGATATGGAGTGATTTTCTTACGAGGTGAGGTAGTTTAGGTTGGGCCTGTACTTGCTGGAGCTCAGATGAATGAGAAGTAACCTTGTTGAAACATATAAGACTTTTTTCGAGGGCTTGACAGGGCTGATGCTGAAAGATTGTTTCCCTTATGGGACAGTCAAGGACCAGAAGGCATGATCTCATAATCTTGCCCTCAGGCACATATTTATAAGGTGAGAGGAGTGAGATTAAAAAAAGACATGACGGGCAAAGTTTTTAAACAGAGGGTAGTTCATGTGTGGAATGAACTACCTGCAGATGCTGGCACAGTTACAACATTTAAAAGATGCTTAAATTAGTACATGAATAGGAAAGGTTGGAGGGATATGGACAAAGCTCAGGCTGGTGGGACTAGTTTAGTTTGGGATTATGTTTGGCATGGACTAGTTGGACCGAAGGGTCTGCTTCTGTAATGTATGACTCTACGATGAGGAATTTCTGTTAGGGTAGTGAATCTGTGGAATTCTTTACTGTAGAGGTTGGGTCACTCAGTATGTTCAAGGATAAAGTAAACAGATTTTTAATTAGTAAGAAAATCAAGGGATAAAGGGTAAAGGCAAAAGAGTGGAGTTGAAGATTGAGATTAGCCATGTTCTCATTGAATGGTGGAGCAGACTCGATGGATTGAATGACCTATATCTGCTACTATGTCTTATGGTCAAATGGTCCAAGCAAGGATTAAGTGGGGACAATCCCATTGGTACAGATCCCACTTTCTCCAGCACTGGTGTTAGTTTCCCATGATCCATAACCCAATTATCCCACACTAGTGTTTGAGCCACATAATCATCTGTCTAATCTGTTTTGCTCATGCCAATTTTCATGTGGCACAGGTAGTAATACAGAGATTATGACCTTTTAAGATTCTGCTTATTAATTTGGCACCTAGCTCCTCATACTGGCCATTCAGAACTTCCTTCTTTGTCCTACCTATGTTGTTTGTACCTACGTGAACCACAATGACTGTGTTCTTCCATACCCAATGAAAGTTCCTTTCCAGCTGTGACTGATGTCCCCAAGCCTGGAACCGGACAGGCAGCTCGGTATGTACAGAGATAGTAGGAACTGCAGATGCTGGAGAATCCGAGACAACAAGGTGCAGGGCTGGATGAACACAGCAGGCCAAGCAGCATCATAGGAGCAGAGAGGCTGACGTTTCGGGCCTAGACCCTTCATCAGAAAAGGGGGAGGGGAAGGGGGTTTTGAAATAAATAGGGAGAGAGTTGGAGGCGGATAGAAGAGGGATAGAGGAGAGGATAGGTGGAGAGGAAACAAACAGGTCGAAGAGGCGGGGATGGGGCCAGGAAAGGTGAGTGTAGGTAGGGAGTTAGGAAGGGGATAGGTCAGTCCAGGGAGGACGGACAGGTCAAGGGGGCGGGATGAGGTTGGTCGGTAGGAGATGGAGGTGCGGCTTGAGGTGGGAGGAGGGGATAGGTGGGAGGAAGAACAGGTTAGGGAGGCAGGGACGAGCTGGACTGGTTTTGGGATGCGGT